GCTTGCAGATCGCATTTGCTTGCAGATTGCATATGCTTGCAAATCGCATATGCTTGCAAATCGCATATGCTTGCAGATCGCATATGCTTGCAGATCGCATATGCTTGCAGACAGCATATGCTTGCAGATCGCATATGCTTGCAGACAGCATATGCTTGCAGATCGCATATGCTTGCAGACAGCATATACTTGCAGAAAGCATATGCTTGCAGATCGCATATGGCATATGCTTGCAGATCGCATATACTTGCAGACAGCATATGCTTGCAGATCGCATATGCTTGCAGACGGCATATGCTTGCAGATCGCATATGGCATATGCTTGCAGATCGCATATGGCATATGCTTGCAGATCGCATATGGCATATGCTTGCAGATCGCATATGGCATATGCTTGCAGATCGCATATGGCATATGCTTGCAGATCGCATATGGCATATGCTTGCAGATCGCATATGGCATATGCTTGCAGATCGCATATGGCATATGCTTGCAGATCGCATATGGCATATGCTTGCAGATCGCATATGGCATATGCTTGCAGATCGCATATGGCATATGCTTGCAGATCGCATATGGCATATGCTTGCAGATCGCATATGGCATATGCTTGCAGATCGCATATGGCATATGCTTGCAGATCGCATATGGCATATGCTTGCAGATCACATATGCTTGCAGACTGCGTATGCTTGCATAATGCAGATGCATGCGCATATATATAACAGATGGCATATGCTTGCAGATTACATATGCTTGCAGATCGAATATGCTTGCAGATCGCATATGGCATATGCTTGCAGATCGCATATGCTTGCAGATCGCAATGACATATGCTTGCAGATCGCATATGGCATATGCTTGCAGATCACGTATGGCATATGTATAACCTCCTATTGACTGAGCTGTGTGTGAAAGTTTGATGCGCGTTGAAGTTTGTTGAGCTGCACGTGTCGGGCTTCGTGCGTTGAAATTGATAGAAATATAGTATTTCAACGTGTTGAAGTTCGCATGTTGAAGTGTTGAGGTGTTGAACGGTTGCACGTTTGTGCTGTAACGTTTGCGTGTCGAAGTGCGCGTGTGACTTTGAGTGTTCAACCTTGCGCGTTGAGCTGTGTGTAAAAGTTTGGTGTGCGTTGAAGTTTGGAGGTTTAGCTTTACGTGTCGGGCTTCGTGCGTTGAAATTGAGCAGTTCAACGTGCAAAGTTCAGCAGCTTGCATGATGCTTGCATAATGCAGATCATATGCATAATGCAAAATGCAGAATGCATATGCTTGCAGATGGCATAGGCTTGCATATCGCATATGCTTGCACATCGAATGTGGCATATGCTTGCAGATTGCATCTGGCATGTGCTTGCAGATTGCATATGCTTGCATATCGCATATGCTTGCAGATCGCATATGCTTGCACATCGCAGATGCTTGCACATCGCATATGCTTGCACATCGCAGATGCTTGCACATCGCATATGCTTGCACATCGAATGTGGCATATGCTTGCAGATCGCATCTGGCATATGCTTGCAGATCGCATACGGCATATGCTTGCAGATCGCATATGGCATATGCTTGCAGATCGCATATGCTTGCAGACTGCATCTCTTTGCAGATCGCATATGCTTGCAGATCGTATATGTTTGCAGATCACATATGCTTGCACATCGCACGCGGATTGTATATGCTTGCAGATCGCAGATGCTTGCAGATCACATATGCTTGCACATCGCACGCGGATCGTATATGCTTGCAGATCGCATATGCTTGCAGATCGCGTATGCTTGCACATCGAATGTGGCATATGCTTGCAGATCGCATATGGCATATGCTTGCAGATCGCATATGCTTGCAGATCGTATATGCTTGCAGATCGTATATGCTTGCAGATCGTATATGCTTGCAGATCGTATATGCTTGCAGATCACATATGCTTGCACATCGCACGCGGCATAAGCTTGCATATGAAGCATCTGTGCATATGAAACACATGTGCATACGTGCATATGAAGCATATGTGCATATGTGCATATGAAGCATATGTGCATATGTGCATATGAAGCATATGAAGCATATGTGCGTATGTGCGTATGTGCATATGAAGCATATGAAGCATATGAAGCATATGAAGCATATGAAGCATATGAAGCATATGAAGCATATGAAGCATACGAAGAAAAAAAAAGAAAAAAAAGCGCGCAAAATAGAAGACGCGCGCGCTGGGTATTGTACTGGCGACTGGTTGACAGACTATAGCGCGCTGTTCGCACGAGTGGGGCGTAGCTCCGTCGCTGAACGAGGCGCGGTCCCTGCGGTCCCGAGGGTGCCGTAGCTCTCGTCCGGGTCCGGACACGTTTGGGTGCATCAGCATTGCAAATGCTTGCGTATTGCAAATGCTTGCATATGGAATATCCTTGCATATTGCAAATTGCCCATGCTTGCATATGCAATACCCTTGCATATTGCGCATGCTTGCATATTCCAAATGCTTGCATATTGCAAATGCTTGCATATTGCATATGCTTGCAGATCGCATATGCATGCAGATTGCATATGCTTGCAGATTGCATATATGGCGCAGATCGCATATGATTGTTGTCTGCATTTGTTTGCAGATCGCATATGCTTGCAGATCGCATATGCTTGCATATTGCATATGCTTGCATATTGCATATGCTTGCAGATCGCATATGCTTGCAGATTGCATATATGGCGCAGATCGCACATGCTTGCAGACTGCATCTCTTTGCAGATCGCATATGCTTGCAGATCGCATTTGCTTGCAGATTGCATATGCTTGCAAATCGCATATGCTTGCGAATGGCATATGCTTGTAGATCGCATATGCTTGCAGACTGCATATGCTTGCAGACTGCATATGCTTGCAGACTGCATATGCTTGCAGACTGCATATGCTTGCAGACTGCATATGCTTGCAGCATATTATTGTTTTTGCTCAATGGATTCAAAATACCAGATCGCATATGCTTGCAGATGGCATATGCTTGCAGATCGCACATGCTTGCAGATCGCATATGCTTGCAGATCGCATATGCTTGCAGACCGCATATGCTGCAGATCGCATATGCTTGCAGATCGCATATGCTTGCAGATCGCATATGCTTGCAGACCGCATATGCTTGCAGATCGCATATGCTTGCAGATCGCATATGCTTGCAGACGGCCTATGCTTGCAGATCGCATATGGCATATGCTTGCAGATCGCATACGGCATATGCTTGCAGATCGCATATGCTTGCAGACGGCATAGGCTTGCAGATCGCATATGGCATATGCTTGCAGATCGCATATGGCATATGGTTGCAGGTCGCAGATGCTTACAGGTCGCATATGTTTGCAGATCGCATATGCTTGCAGATCGCATATGCTTGCAGACTGCGTATGCTTGCATAATGCAGATGCATGCGCATATATATAACATTAAACATTTTGCATATTGCATATCGCATATCACATATCGCATATCGCACATCGCATATCGCATTTTGCATATTGCATATAGTATATCGCATTTTGCATATTGCATATCGCATATCGCATATCGCATATCGCATATCGCATATCGCATATCGCATATCGCACATCGCACATCGCATATCGCATTTTGCATATTGCATATAGTATATCGCATTTTGCATATTGCATATCGCATATCGCATATCGCATATTGCATATCGCTGCATATCGCACATCGTATATTGCATACCGCATATCGCATAGCATAGCACAGTATCGCATAGCATATTGCATATTGCATATCGCATATCGCATATCGCATATTGCATATCGCTGCATATCGCACATCGTATATTGCATACCGCATATCGCATAGCATAGCACAGTATCGCATAGCATATTGCATATCGCATAGCATAGCACATATCGCTAGCATATTGCATATTGCATATTGCATAGCATAGCATAGCATAGCATAGCATAGCATAGCATAGCATAGCATAGCATAGCATAGCATAGCATAGCATAGCATAGCATAGCATAGCATAGCGCAGCATAGCATAGCGCAGCATAGCATAGCATATCATAGCATAGCGCAGCATAGCATAGCATATCATAGCATAGCGCAGCATAGCATAGCATAGCATAGCGCAGCATAGCATAGCATAGCATAGCGCAGCATAGCTTAGCATATGCTTGCAGATCGTATATTTTACAGATCGCATATGCTTGCAGATCGCATATGCTTGCAGATCGCATATGCTTGCAGATCGCATATGCTTGCAGATCGCATATGCTTGCAGATCGCACATCGCATATGCTTGCAGATCGCATATGCTTGCAGATCGCATATGCTTGCAGATCGCATATGCTTGCAGATCGCATATGCTTGCAGATCGCACATGGCATATGCTTGCAGATCGCATATGCTTGCAGATCGCACATGGCATATGCTTGCAGATCGCATATGCTTGCAGATCGCATATGCTTGCAGATCGCATATGCTTGCAGATCGCATATGCTTGCAGATCGCATATGCTTGCAGATCGCATATGCTTGCAGATCACATATGGCATATGCTTGCAGATCGCATATGGCATATGCTTGCAGACTGTGTATGCTTGCATAATGCAGATGCATGCGCATATGTATAACATATCGCATATCGCATATTGCATATTGCGTATCGCATATCGCATATTGCATATTGCATATTGCATATTGCATATTGCATATTGCATATTGCATATTGCATATTGCATATTGCATATCGCATATCGCATATTGCATATCGCATATCGCATATCGCATATCGCATATCGCATATCGCATATCGCATATCGCTGCATATGGCATATCGCATATCACATACCGCATATCGCATATCGCAAATTGCATATCGCTGCATATCGCATATCGCTGCATATCGCTGCATATCGCTGCATATTGCATATATCGCATATATACATATATGCATATATGCACATATATGAAACATAAAACATAACCTCGGTGGGATCGAACCGGCGACCTTCCGTTCTTGTTTGCGCGGTCTTAAGCGCGTACGGCACGCTCCCGGCCCGGAATTTCCAAACCGCTCCGGACAACCGGACAACCGGACAACCATCGAACTCGGGATAGGCCTCCGCTCATAACATATGAGCTACGGCGAATCTTAAGCGCGTACGGCACGTTCCCGACCCGGAATTTCCAAATCGCTCCGGACAACCGGACAACCGGACAACCATCGAACTCGGGATAGGCCTCCGCTCATAACATATGAGCTACGGCGACAGCGAACTCGGGATAGGCCTCCGCTCATAACATATGAGCTACGGCGACAACCGGACAGCGAACTCGGGATAGGCCTCCGCTCATAACATATGAGCTACGGCGACGAGGCGTGGTCCCTGCGGTCCCGAGGGTGCCGTAGCTCTCGTCCGGGTCCGGTGCATCCGGATTGCAAATGTTAGCGTATTGCAAATGCTTGCATATGCAATATCCTTGCATATTGCACATGCTTGCATATTGCGCATGCTTGCATATTCCAAATGCTTGCATATCGCAAATGCTTGCATATTGCATATGCTTGCATGTTGCATATGCTTGCATATTGCATATGCTTGCAGATTGGATATGCTTGCAGATTGCATATGCTTGCAGACTGCATCTGTGTGCAGACCGCATATGCTTGCAGATCGCATATGCTAGCAGATTGCATATGGTTGCAGATTGCATATGATTGCAGATCGCATATGCTTGCAGATTGCATATGGTTGCAGATTGCATATGCTTGCAGATTGCATATGCTTGCAGATTGCATATGGTTGCAGATTGCATATGGTTGCAGATTACATATATGGCGCAGATCGCATATGCTTGCAGACTGCATCTGTTTGCAGATCCCATATGCTTGCAGATCGCATTTGCTTGCAGATTGCATATGCTTGCAAATCGCATATGCTTGCAAATCGCATATGCTTGCAGATCGCATATGCTTGCAGATCGCATATGCTTGCAGACAGCATATGCTTGCAGATCGCATATGCTTGCAGACAGCATATGCTTGCAGATCGCATATGCTTGCAGACAGCATATACTTGCAGAAAGCATATGCTTGCAGATCGCATATGGCATATGCTTGCAGATCGCATATACTTGCAGACAGCATATGCTTGCAGATCGCATATGCTTGCAGACGGCATATGCTTGCAGATCGCATATGGCATATGCTTGCAGATCGCATATGGCATATGCTTGCAGATCGCATATGGCATATGCTTGCAGATCGCATATGGCATATGCTTGCAGATCGCATATGGCATATGCTTGCAGATCGCATATGGCATATGCTTGCAGATCGCATATGGCATATGCTTGCAGATCGCATATGGCATATGCTTGCAGATCGCATATGGCATATGCTTGCAGATCGCATATGGCATATGCTTGCAGATCGCATATGGCATATGCTTGCAGATCGCATATGGCATATGCTTGCAGATCGCATATGGCATATGCTTGCAGATCACATATGCTTGCAGATGCTTGCTTCGCATATGGCATATGCATGCGCACATATGTAGCAGACTGCGTATGCTGCAGATCACAGATGCTGCAGATCGAATA